TTTAATATTTATTAAGAGTTTAGTACAATTGAACTAATACAATCAAAATTGTAAGTGCCACCTAATCTTGTGTTTCATTATTTTTATTTAGAACTGTTAGTGAATAGTATAATTTTAGAATAAATTGTGTGTTGTTTGAATTAAATTTGATTTATTTGATTAATAACTCAAATTTGATAAAGAAACAAATGTAAATTAGAATTTACATAATTACTTATAAGTTATTTACAAGTACTCAATTTAAAACTAAAAATTATATTATATATTTATTATAATTTAAATATATAATAATTTATAAATTTAACAAAACTAAAAGCATGACTTAAATAATTTATCTATTTTAAGGTTTTTAGAATTATAAATACAAATATTTGAAAGAAGTTTATGGTCTTTTTTAAAATAAAGTACTTATTAGGTGAATCTCTAAAAGATTAAGAGGAAAAACATCATAAAGTAACATTGTTTTAATAAAACACCATGAGAAAAAATCAAATAATTTTATTTTTACTTTAAAATAATTTATTTTAATTTTTTCAATAAAAATTTATTAAAATAACATAATTTTAAAGTATTTCTCTTAATTTATTAAAGGTTTAGTTGATAAGTACTTTTCTCTTTTTTTAGTGGACTTAATATAATTCTCTTGATTAAGTTTTTCATGATATGAAAAAATATAAAATTTTTATAATTGAATGATTAAACAATTATTAAAACAATTTAAAATTATAAGAAAGAAACTCGAATTCAAACTCTATTATTCACTCGCTCAAACTGCTCAAATACTTTTAAGATTAAGCATCACCTCAACTATTTTAAACTTTCCTGTGTAACTAATCAAATTTAACTCAAACTTAAATATTTATGATTACCTTGAGTATAAATACCTAAAAACTTGACTCCACTAAACTTGTCAGCAACCCTACTTCCACCCCAAACTACAAAGCTTGTTATTTTTTGTCAAAAAAAAAAAAAAAAAAAACTCAATACAAGTGCAATGTGATATATTTGTTATTAACTTTTAACGTATCAATGCCACATGTCATTTAAAAAAATATAGCATAAAATTATTGAAAAATGGTCAAGGATTTAAAAATACATACAAATAACTAAGTCTAAGGTAGGGCCTATTTCCCGTGGGCTTTTTCTTTTACTTTACATTTTTTTTTTTGTTTATATACCTAAAATGGGGTATATGTCTAACCTTAAACTTTTTTTATTCTGTCACTATCTATAATCATAGCAGCATTATAACTTTCATATTAGGAGGATATAAGTAAAAAAAATTTATTTTTATTAAAAAGAATTTACCATCAAATTACTAAATAACTGGTATAATATATATATATATATATTTTTTTTAAGGATTTTTTTACTGTATATCCTTAAGACACAAGATAATAATGTTATAAATGTAATTTTTAATAATTAATTTTTATTAAAAGTATAAATATTACCAATAACTTAAATAATTAAGTGGTTATCTCTTTTTCTGTTGGAAGTAAGAGATCATGAATTCAAAACACATAATATGTGAGTGGAGTGAAGTAAGATAAATGATAAAAGGTGATGATAAAAAGTTATTATTTCTCATTATGTAACTAAGATAAAAAAATATAAATATAAATATTAATTTTATTTTAATTAATTAATTAATTAAAATCATCAATATGTTAGTGATATTAAAATATATGTCAATTTTTATAATTTAATATGAATTAATTATAAAAAAATATATTTATTACATCATTATTTTTTTTTTTGGATAGGTACACCATTATTTTTTTAATTATCACATCTCTATTACTTTTTTTTTTTTTTTTTTGATTTTGGGGAAAATGGAGATATCATTGCGAAACAACTCTATTACTTCTTTAAACCAAAAAAAAAAAACACTCTATTACTTCTTCATGCTTCCGTTGTAAATGCGAGCACTGATCAGATGCGGCCGAATCCACCACGACAAGAAAAAAGTCAAAAACATCATAAATCAAGTTCTTCTGACTAACACTTACGCCAGAGAACTTAACGCGTAGATCACCGTTCAAGTGTTAAACCGATGGCAGACGCGTGGGATGGTGGGTCCTGCCCGGACGCTTTGACCTTCTCAATCTACGGAACAAAACAGCTACCTGTCAGTGATGCACACCTCACCTGTCGGTGATATAAATGCAAAACCCCAAAAAAAGAAAAAGAAAAAGGGTTTTCTAGAATAAAGGACAAAGTTCTACTGCGACGGCCGCGTTTCATCCCATTGCCGCAGGACAATCAGGGTGCGCCACGTCTGCAAACGGCGTTTTAAAGAAACAGAAACCACACGACACTGACGTCTTTATTTCCGACAACAGTTGACCTACTACCATGAAAGTGCCACATGGTACGCTGTAGTTAGTTGCAACATTTACGTCCGGAAGTACGAGATTAACTCTTTCTGTGAAGGAAATGACTAAAAACACACCCCCACCGCGATTGGTGTCGTGGAGGGAATTTCATTCGGTTTGGTTCAACAGAATTTCCAATTCGGTTCCTATGCAATAGAAGTTGAAAATTTTGTACTATAAAAAATGGGGGTAATAAAATCCAACAGAAATGTATTATTTTGCTTGTTTTCTTCTCAAGTTGGAAGGTTCTTTACTCTGTTTTATCTCTGAAATTTTGTTTGGTTTTTTTTTTTTAAATTTTCGGGTTCTGATTTCTTTCTTGTCGGAGCAGAGAAAGTGAAGGAAACGGTGGTGCGAGAGTGAGGGGAAAGATAAAGAGTTTTTGGGGTTTCGTTTTTCTATTATGGGTTGTTTTGGCTGCACTGGAGGATCGAGCAGAGAATCGGAGAGCATCAAGAACGGCAATGGTAACACCAACAGTATCAGGAGGAAGAAAAACCATGGTCCAGGAGTAGGCAGTTCAGGTGTGGCAATTCTGCAATCAAAGTTTGATCTTTTGTTCCTTGAAATTTATTTTATTTGAATTTGATCGGTCATCCTGATTTTGATTGTTTTCTGTTTTATTCTATCTGATTGTTTTCATTCTTTTGCATTTTGTTGGGGTTTTGTTAAGGTCTAATTTTAGTTGATGGTTTCTGCTCCTATCTGGATTTTATATTGTTTTCCATGTTAAACTCTCCATTTTGGAAGACTTTGAATGTAATATTGCCATTAACCCTGGATTATTTTTATTTTTTATTTTTGCTTTTCAGATGATTTTTCCAAAGTATGATTTTGTTGACAGTGGGTTTTTTTACATCAAGATGAATCTTTTTGTTGGTGATGATATTCTCTAAAATTCAGTTATAAGTGAAATCACACCGTGTTGGGGAGTTTTTTTAAAAAAGATTTAATTTCTTGGTTCAAGATTCATATATTTATATTGGTTAGCAAATTTCACTATTTTTTATCTGTTCATTATTTGGGTTTTAAGTCATCATGTAGTTTCTTTCTGTTTTTACACTGGTAGTCTGTTTGTTTGTTTGCATGGCGTGGGAAAGATCCAATCCAAAATCCGTACTGTCTCTTCAATTTGTCCCTGTGTGTTCCGTGTTTGTTTTTAGAATTTGATGAGATGATAATATCATTTGGTTTTGTGGTTTTTCCATTTTGTTTGCCTTATGTCTTTCACTTGGTTCTCATTATGGCTGTTGTGCATCTGTTATAGCATGTCCAAAAGAGGGTGCTAAGAATGACCAGTTTTTGAGCGATGCAAAGAATTTGAATTTGAATTGTGATTGGAAAAAGGTTTCCAAGAGTGGAAAAAGCAATGGGAAGGAGGTGCTGGAATTCTCTTTTGAGGAACTCATTGCCACAACCAGAAATTTCAGGTCAGATTGTTTCTTAGGGGAAGGGGGTTTTGGCAAAGTTTACAAGGGATATTTGGAGAGGATAAACCAGGTCAGTTGACTTAATCTGATTCTATTGTAAATGTTGTTGAAAATCAAGCAAAATATGGACTGGCTTAACAAAATTTCAGATTCAGTACTGATCAGTTAGTCAATTCAATGTAATTATGTACTAAACTAAATAGATTCTCTCTTCTCAACACTTTTATTTGATGATAAAGTTATGGTAATGTCTGAATATGCTGATATCTTGTTTCAGGTTGTTGCAATCAAGCAACTTGATCATAGTGGTGCTCAGGGGATCAAGGAGTTTGTTGTTGAAGTGGTGACATTAAGTGAGGCTGATCATCCAAATCTTGTCAAATTGATGGGATATTGTGCCGAGGGTAACCAGAGATTGTTGGTTTATGAGTACATGCCGTTAGGTTCTTTGGAAAATCATTTGTATGGTATGTAACTTCTCAATCTTCTTCCTCATTTCTCTACCAATACATTATTGCATTATCTATATGTCACAAACTTTCTTATGCATAGTTTCTTATTTTTCATGGGTATAGATCTTTCTCCTGATAGAAAACCACTTGATTGGAATACAAGAATGAAAATAGCAGCTGGTGCTGCGAGGGGTTTAGAGTATTTGCATATGGAAATGAAACCCCCTATAATATACCGTGATGTGAAATGCTCCAACATTTTGCTTGGTGAGGAATATCATGCCAAACTATCTGATTTTGGCTTGGCTAAAGTGGGTCCCAGTGGGGATGACACTCATGTTTCTACACGAGTTATGGGCACATATGGTTACTGTGCTCCAGATTATGCAATGACAGGCCAGCTAAATTTTAAATCAGATATTTTTAGCTTTGGTGTTGTTCTTTTGGAGCTAATCACTGGTAGGAAAGCGCTGGACTGTACAAGAGAGAAAAAGGAGCAAAATCTTGTTGTATGGGTAAGATCAAGCTTTCTCATTCTATTCTTTCTTGCTATATTTTATTTTCTTCTTACCAGACACACACTCTCTTATTTCAAAAAGTTTCTCAAATTTTACTGCCACTTGTAGAAATCAGTTTTTCTTTTTCTAGATCTTTCTTGACCAAGACCTCTTAAAGAATATCTACCATTTCTAGCATCTTTTGAGTCAGTGATGATTTTGTTCGAACCTCCCTCTGGCCTTTTTTTTTTTTTGTATGGGTATTAAGAAATGAAAGTTCCCATCTGGAGCACAATATAACTGATTTTCTGGGGTGTTTATGGTGTTTTTTGAGTATATCCCTTTGCTTACATGCCTTGTGATTGGATTTTAGCATTCACCAAGGACAATGTTGGAGTATTTGTTTTGTTAGTTAATATTTTTCTGTCTTCTTATACCTACATTGATAATATGCAATTGAGGCAACCAGCTGCTTATTTGGTGATGCTACTGCATGCAGTTTCTCAGCTCTCTTCTATCCACTATGATAATTTGCAATGAAGGCAACCTGCTCATTTGGTTATGCTACCGCATGCAGTCACCAAATCCATGGCCACTCTCTGCATTGTGTGTGAACCATGTCGTGAACTTTTATATGCAAATTTCTATTAAAGTTTGACACGTGCATGCACACACCTGCACACTTATCTTTAATTATTATTATTTTTTTAGCCATCCATTAATATCTTTGATTTATAGACCAGTTTTGTTACAATTTATAAATTCAAAAAATATTTCAGCAATTATGACTCATGTAGGATGTCATGTAGCTGATGATTTTTATCTTGTTGCAAATATATAGGAACCCTTAAATCGTTAAGAGTTATAAGAGTCTGTTTAGAACATACTAGAGAATAATTGCCATTGGAAGTAGTCTAATAGATTTTACTTTTAGAGATGCTCATTTACTTGATTGTTTTCAGGCACGACCAATGTTCAAAGATCGCAAGAACTTCTCACAAATGGCTGACCCGAAGCTGCAGGGTCAATATCCAACAAGAGGCTTATACCAAGCTATTGCTGTTGCTGCAATGTGCGTCCAGGAGCAGCCTGGCATGCGCCCAACCATAGTAGATGTGGTTCAGGCTCTGAATTACCTATCCTCCCAGGAATATGTCCCAAACAAGCCAGTTCATGGGACCTCTGCTTCTTCACGAGGAAATGATAACAACAACACTTGTTTTGAAGTAAACAAGAGCAATGAGAAAAAACACTGCGAGGATAAGGGCATAACAGAGACTGCAAACGAGGAGTAAGGTAGGAATAAAGTGTTTATAGGAGTAATTAGGAATAAAGTCTCCATTTAATTTCGATGATGTAATTGAGGAAGTGCCTTAATTATCAAGTTTTGTATTTGCAGAAGATAACAGGCACTTATTCTTCATTTTTTTTTTGTCTTTGGTCCTTAATTTTCCATCTTTACCAGTGTAAATGTGAGTTGAGGTCCCTGTACCTAAGATAAGATGCCTCTTCTTTTCTTAGGAACCATACCAAATTTTAATTGGAGTTGCAAATAAGGAAGAAATATCTATATTCTTAAGAGTTTACTACAGTTTACTTTAATTATGGTGGTGCTGTCCTTTTTTCTTTTTTTGTTTGGACGATCAGTTATACGCTTGATTATATCAACATTTAACTTTATTTATTATTTTAATTTTAATTTATAATAAAAAGAATAAAGTATTTTTGTTATTCCTAGTATGAGAAAAGTGAAAATTCAACCCTCAATGAATAGGTATTGATTCATAGGATATTGTACTTTACTTCTGTAGTCCATTTTTTGTGTGTTTTTATTATATTTTTGTAGTTTAAATCAATTTATTGTTGAATTGAACGAATTTAGATGTAGATATTTCTAATCTAATTTAATTTATTTAACAATACAAGAATATACATATCATAATACATGTTCTTTCATATTTGAGATGAATTAAATTATCATAATACCCTTAAAGTTTAAAAACAAAATTATAAGGAAAAAGTTTATATATAGGTCGATAGCCTTAAATGGAGCAAAAATGTAGCATCTACGAAGGAAATTAGGCGGGTATGACTTGCGCATGGAAGACAAAGGCAAGGTGAGAAGTAGGGAATTTTTTTTTTTTTAATGTTTGTTGTACACTAAAAAATAATTTTTTCTTATTTTTTATCGATTTTTATCGATTTATCTTATTTTATTAGTATGTCATGTAATTTAAATTTAAATTTTTTTATTTTTAGTAAAAAAAATTATTATTAAATTAATTAAACCATTAGCAATGAATTTTTTTTGTTTTCTGGTTTATACGAAGGAAATTGTGCGTGAAAGTAAAGTAGGACCATTTTTGTTTTTTTGGTTTATAGGGTGAGAAGTAGGGACTGTTGTTGGGCTTGTTATCATCCACATCCTAATTGTGGATTTGAGGACAATCTGGGAAAAGGGCTATTGTTGCTTTTTACTTGTCTTAATTTTTTAATTTTATATAAATTATTTTTTTTTGAACAATGTGAAACTTTTTTGAGGAAAGGAGGAAAGGGTACCTGAGATTTGATCCAAGTTTACTACTCTTACGCACGATCCGCTAGGGGTGATCAGTAGACCACCAAGTGCGGGATTTATATAAATTAATTTAATAATTTTATATAATAAATTAATAATAATTAAAAAAAATTCAATTATGATATATACCATGTAAAATTATATGATCAAATTTAGTAAGTGTAACAAGAAACCGTGTGCATGAGCCCACATACAATACAATCAGCCATGAACAGATAAGATTGATCACGTGCGATTGGTCCTACTGTATGTGGGGCAACCCCTACATTCACATTCCTCATTCATCTACAGTGTGGCTTGTGGGCAGGTGGTTGTCTTGTCTCCCCTCTCAAATCGCCTTGCGCTGTTTGTTCATTGGAGAAATGCTTCGGAGCCCA